ATTCGTTTATCGAAAAATTATTTCGTTTAAACGAAATATTATTTCGTTTAAACGAAATAAATGATGTTATTTCGTTTAAACGAATTAATTATTTCCTTTAAACGAAATAATTATTTCGTTTAAACGAAATAATAAATAAATATGTTTACAATTGCGCCAATTAGGGGCTCCGTAAATATCAGATAAATTTACCTGTTTTTTTTATTTCTCAAAATTTTGGTCTTCAGGATAATAAACCCTTTTAGGTCAACAATTGCGTATTTAAAAAAAAAAAAACTGAATTCTCATTTTATGAATAAATGCAAAGCTTATAGCACATGGTAGCTTAATTTATTTACATCTTGCCAGCAATTCTGAAATGAATACCCAATGACAAGGGTGAAGCTGGTTGTATCATTTGATAATTCTATCTCTGTGCAGGGATGGAAATCTATTCTCCAAACCAGCTTAGCACTAGGTTTATCTTTTCAGAACCTATTCATACTCTTTTCTTTTAGAACTGGTAACAAGAAAACTTTCATATTATAGACTTTTGTTTATTGTAGATTACTCGTGGTTGTTTTTTTAACTTAATACTAACTATGCTAAATTCACCTTATCTTGTATTGAACATTTATCTCTTTATTTGTGACCTTGGCCAGTGCTTTACATAGAAGTTTTTAGGAACTTCTTCACTCTTAACACTAGGATGTCCTAGTGTCTTAACTTGTAAGATTGATATCCTAGTGCTAAGATCCTTTAGAGAATACATGATCTAGATTAGTGAGCAATTACATCGCTTGGTTTTAGAAATGGTACAAGTTATAGTTTACTTACAATATAATCATTTCCTGCTGCCATTTCAGCTATAGTATGTCTAGATATTTTACCCGATCTAGTTTTAGGTAAACCTCGTACTATAACAGCCTGTTTAAAAGCTGCTACTGGACCAATATTCTCCCTAACAGCCAATATGACTTCTTCTATTATAGTTTTATGTGGCTTACTGAGACCTATAATCAATCAGTTATTTGGCATTAAAACCAAGATAATTTAAGACTGAAGCCAGACATTTTTCATCTCTAAATGGCTGGCATATACATAAAAATCTTTATTCCTGACTCACAAATTGCTGAAGAGCATGTCAAGGACAGTATACTTCTGGTTTGCAAAATTGCAAAACTTGACACATTAAAGGGACACAATTTGTAATTTCACCAATCCACTTAGGCTTATCTACCAATTGCATGGAAAAGGTTAAAACTGTTGCTCTGAGAACCAATGTATAAGCAAAGTTCATGCTTACAAAATGTCTAATTTACTTTTTTTATGTGAAACTAGCTGAATTTGCATTGATTTTGTTTCCTTACACACTTCTTTTCTGCTACAGATGTGGAAAACATGAAAAAATACAGCATATCTGATATCAATAATATTACAGGACATAAACCTACCTTGTTTAATAACACATAAAGCTACAGGGACCTGCCCCTTTAATTCATCTTTGACCCCAATAACAGCCGTTTCAACAATATCTTTATTTTCTAAAATAGCTTCCTCAAGAGACCCTGTAGATAGTCTATGTCCTGCTACATTGATAACATCATCAGTTCTAGCCATTACAGCTATATACCCTTTCTCATCTCGGAATCCTGAATCCATAGTATCATAATAACCCTGAAATTATACAGTCTAGTTATCAGAGTCTATAGTATCATAACAACCCTGAAATTATACAGTCTAGTTATCAGAATCTATAGTATCATAATAACCCTGAAATTATACAGTCTAGTTATCAGAATCTATAGTATCATAATAACCCTGAAATTATACAGTCTAGTTATCAGAGTCTATAGTATCATAACAACCCTGAAATTATACAGTCTAGTTATCAGAATCTATAGTATCATAATAACCCTGAAATTATACAGTCTAGTTATCAGAATCCATAGTATCATAATAACCCTGAAATTATACAGTCTAGTTATCAGAGTCTATAGTATCATAACAACCCTGAAATTATACAGTCTAGTTATCAGAATCTATAGTATCATAATAACCCTGAAATTATACAGTCTAGTTATCAGAATCCATAGTATCATAATAACCCTGAAATTATACAGTCTAGTTATCAGAGTCTATAGTATCATAACAACCCTGAAATTATACAGTCTAGTTATCAGAATCCATAGTATCATAATACCCCTGAAATTATACAGTCTAGTTATCAGAATCCATAGTATCATAATAACCCTGAAATTATACAATCTAGTTATCAGAATCCATAGTATCATAACAACCCTGAAATTATACAGTCTAGTTATCAGAATCTATAGTATCATAACAACCCTGAAATTATACAGCTAGTTATCAGAGTCTATAGTATCATAACAACCCTGAAATTATACAGTCTAGTTATCAGAATCTATAGTATCATAATAACCCTGAAATTATACAGTCTAGTTATCAGAATCCATAGTATCATAATAACCCTGAAATTATACAGTCTAGTTATCAGAGTCTATAGTATCATAACAACCCTGAAATTATACAGTCTAGTTATCAGAATCCATAGTATCATAATACCCCTGAAATTATACAGTCTAGTTATCAGAATCCATAGTATCATAATAACCCTGAAATTATACAATCTAGTTATCAGAATCCATAGTATCATAACAACCCTGAAATTATACAGTCTAGTTATCAGAATCTATAGTATCATAACAACCCTGAAATTATACAGTCTAGTTATCAGAATCCATAGTATCATAATAACCCTGAAATTATACAGTCTAGTTATCAGAATCTAGTATCATAATACCCCTGAAATTATACAGTCTAGTTATCAGAGTCTATAGTATCATAACAACCCTGAAATTATACAGTCTAGTTATCAGAATCTATAGTATCATAACAACCCTGAAATTATACAGTCTAGTTATCAGAATCCATAGTATCATAATAACCCTGAAATTATACAGTCTAGTTATCAGAATCTAGTATCATAATACCCCTGAAATTATACAGTCTAGTTATCAGAGTCTATAGTATCATAACAACCCTGAAATTATACAGTCTAGTTATCAGAATCTAGTATCATAATACCCCTGAAATATA